TGGCGGTCAACGCCCCCGAGCTCCGCCTCGCCGTGGACGCGGACCCCCTGGGCGGCCGCTGCCAGCATGAGGGGGGCCACCCTGCGGCGGCGGGCCGTGATGAGCACGGCCGCTGGCGCACCGCTGAGCTGAAAAGCTACCCGTCGGCTTTTTCGCTTCTTCTCGCCAAGGTGCTCCTTGGGCACCAAGTGTCGAGGCTCAGCCGGGCCTGGGATCCCTGGGGCAGTGACCTGGGGACCACGGCTTTCCAGGATTTCTTTGTCCCTCTCGATCCATACTACAATTTCCAGGCGGGCCATGACTGCTATCGCCAGATCTAGAGCCCGCCGTCCCCAGTCGACACGATGTCGACGCTGTCCTAGAGTCGCCAGCAGTGCACGCCCACTCCCTCCTCCTCGGCTCAAGGATTCCAACCTTCCTCGCCCCTTCCTCCTCGACCCCGAATCGAGAGGGATAGGTGGGCGCCCGAGCGTGTCGGGCCACGTCGACAACTTCGTGGCCCAGGCCGAGCTGGAGGTCTTGAACGGTGTAGGCCTTTGCAAAATCCCAGGCAAAATCCCAGGAGAGGAGGAGGAAGAGGAGGAGGAGGAGGCGGAGGAGGAGGAGGAGGCGGAGGAGGAGGAGGACGAGACGACTTTTTGGATCTCCGCCATCGCCAGACTCTCGGACGTCTCGACGAGGCTCGCTCTCCGGGTGGAATGGGTCCAGGCACGCAGGGCAATACATTTCTGCGGCCTCTGGCACTCGACCGCGAGAAGTGCTCCGACGTGTTGGCGACAGAGGTACGCGTGAAGTTGTGGATGCCATGACAATGGAGACCCTAACAATGCTAGCATTAAACATGCGTTTAAAAGATGTGAACCATGTTCAAAAAATGTGAACACATGTGTTTTGCTTGTCCATGACATCTTGAACACATGTTTTGGACATCTGGCAATTATTTGGCAACATGCTTCCTCTCCAGTGATCGTCGTCCACAAGCATGGAGCTTCAGCGTCACAGAGGTTGCCCAGAAAGTGTGCTCCTAGTTCGTGAAAGGCTTCTGTGCAGAGCACCTGCGCTGCCTCGGAATGTCAGGAACGTTCGGCGACCCCACAGGCACCGCCAAGGCTCACCTGCAGGGCTCCGCGTGCAACATCGATGAGATAAAACTCCTGAGGTACGTGTGGACAGGGAGGCAGCACAGAAAGATACCACGGTCGTTATCCATTACATTAACAGATGATTCCACCTCTACGCTGTGGGACATGTCTGGTGTACGTGAATCGCTCCGTCAGTCTGTGCTGTTCGACAAGCTGTTGGGCCAGGAGCTGCACTTGGGGAAGCTGGTCGCCTGGACCACCGACAAAGAGCTTGGTCGACGAGATGAGCAACACACAAGTCTGCGGCCACTTCCTCCCAGTCAAACGTGCTTTCCGACCTGTCGGCCGCCAGATTGTCACGAGAGACGACGATGACACCGTGCTGATTGACCGACATATTCGATGTCATCGCCCGCCTACAGCGCGTACAGCGGTTGCCCATCCTCCTCCAGAAGCGAGCAGACGTGGCCCTAGGGCAAGTGCGCACATGTGTCAAGATGATTGACCAGCTGCAGTGGAGGTGGCCACAGTTCGACACGCTCGAAGCCGACCTGGGGCGCACCCATCAAGTGGCACGAGGGCCACAGCGACTTCCTCGTGCATCACCTTCGGGATTCTCAGCGGCGGTGGTTTCAGTGGAAGATCCCCTCGACCAGGAACGACCTCGGAGATGCCCCAAAGCAGAGATTCGGACTCGACATGGTAGCGAACTCGTCTCTCCTCAGAGCGCGCAGCATGAAGTTCTGCCTCACCAAGTGGCAGCGGGGACTCCTCTCATTATTTCTCGCAGGAGGCGATCATACACAACAGGAGCTCCAAAGATCATGCATTTCAGAAGAAGGTTCGGCTGTCTGCAGGTTCTGCGACATGGAGAAGGAGACGCAGAAACACATTTTGTGGAATTGCAGATGCTGGCACATCGAACGAGAGCCACTCCTACTGATACCTCAGACTGAAGATCAAGAACAATGGCCGCCGTCGAAGAAACGGTAGCGCTCTACAATGAGATGGTGGACCAGCCAGAGCCCCCGCAACATCGATCCCCTCCAGCTCTCGAAGATGACCTTCCGGAAGGCCTCACCAACTACGTGATTGACGACAACCAAGATCGGCGGTGGCTGGCACTCGCAACTGATGGCGCCGGCCGGTTCCCGAAAAACCCATGGCTAGCGCGTGCTGGCTATGCTATATTCGTGGCGCCCGAGCACCGCCTCAACTTCTCATCCAAGCTGTATGGACTTCGACAGAGCAGTGCCCGTGCCGAAGCTCGTGCCCTCCTACACGCTGTTCGAGTGGCCGAGGGACCAGTGTGGACCTACTGCGATAACGAACAGTGCGTGAAAGCGTTCTAGAACCTTCTCGACGGCGGAGAACCTCCCAGCGGCAGCTGGGCGGACATGAGGTGGCAAATTCAGCAGGCTCTCAACGCGAAGCCTGACATGTTCCGTATTGAGCATGTTCTTGTTTCGCATCAGGGCGTCGATGGAGTGGACCATGGAGCCGTCGCCCCGCTTGCAGAAGAGTTGAATGAAAGTGTTGACCAGCTTGCCGCTGAAGCCGCCAGTACTCCCCCACTCCCGACCCCGGTGCATTCAAAAGGCCAGGGACTGACTTCGGGGGCGCGTAAAAATGCGCGCCAAATCCATGGGTCGGGGGGGTGCTCTCCCGAAATGCGGCCGGTGCCTCCTCGTTCGGCGGCGGGAATCCGCGATTTCCGATGGAAACGGGACCCGTCGCTTATCCACGCCCCCTTAATCCACGTTTGCGATCGCCTGATGATTTTCTCGACCGCTGCCATGCACCAGACCATTGTAGAGATACTCGAGAAGCGTGCCCTCACGAGACCCCTGCCCCATCGGTCCGCAGGATTCTCTGAGGCCCAGCTCGCTCGCCTCACTCCTTTGACCTCCGACCCTCTCCCTCCTCCTCCTCCTCCTCCTCCTCCTCCTCTTCCTCCTCCTCCTCCACATTTGCACAATATGAAAATACTCTCCCACTTCCCCTGATGGCGTCCCGAAGATATCCGACCCCCCCCCGCGTACTGTTTTTTTACACAGGATTCCCGGGAAATGGGTTTTCGCCTGCGTTTTTTCCAAAATGCTGCTCTCGCTGAGGCGCCGGCCTCATTTCTGCTCCCGAATCGTTCCGAATCGTGCTCCCGCTGCAGCGTGGGCCTCATTTTCGGATCGGTGTTTGGCCTCCGTCGTTCAGGATGGCGTTCTCGCCCCAGCGCGGGCCTCTTTCTCGCGCGCCCATCCGCCCGCCACCACCGCGCCGCACCACCACCACCACCACCACCACCACCACCACACCCACCACCACCACACCCACCAGCACCACCACCACACCACCACCAACACCAGCACCACCACCACCACCACCACCACCACCACCACCACCACCACCACCACCCCACCACACGACAACCACGCACACACGCACGCACGCACGCACGCGCACCACCACCCACTACGCACGCGCGCGCGGAGCCACAGGTCCGCTACGACACGCGTCCGCGGATAGAGAAAATCAGCGCCATGGTAAGGGATGGGAGGGAGGGGCAGGACGTCAGATATGACGCGAGCGCACCTAGCTTGTCCCCCCCCCTCCCTCCTCCTCCTCCTCCTCCTCCTCCTCCTCCTCCTCCTCCTCCTCCTCCTCCTCCTCCTCCTCCTCCCCCGCCTCCTCCTCCTCATCCTCCCCCGCCTCCTCCTGTCTGGGAGGAGGAGATGGGGGTCGAGGTCGAGCTCGAAGATGTGGCCGACTACGATCCGTTCAGATTCGGCTTAGAGATCGGTTAGCCGCTTCAAAAACGCTCCAGCCTGGTGACTATTCAGATGGTGCCCCCGACTGCACCCGAGGCAAGTGACCGTTGTCTCGGTCTTGGTCCTTTTGTGCGTTGACTCCGTTTGAGTCCAGACGAGGGGGGGGCCCTTTGTGTTGATTTCAAGTGGTTATGCAGGCCCAGCGAGCCTAGACAAAAAGCGCCAAAGCGTAGGGCATCACCATCATCATCATCATCATCATCATCATCATCATCATCATCATCATCATCATCATCATCATCATCATCATCATCATCATCATCATCGTCATCATCAGCATCAGCATCAGCATCAGCATCAGCATCAGCATCAGCATCAGCAGCATAATCATCAGCATCATCATCAGCAGCATCAGCATCGTTAGCATCATAAGCATCAGCATCATCATCAGCATCACTCCTCATCCCCATCCTCATCCTCCTCCTCATCATCACCATCATCCTCCTCCCCCCTCCTCATCATCATCGTCAGCATCATCATCATCATCAGCATCAGCATCATCATCATCATCAGCATCAGCATCAGCATCAGCATCAGCATCATCATCATCATCATCATCATCATCCTGAGCATCCTCAGCTTCATCATCGTGATCATGACATTGATCATGATGAGCATCAGCAGCATCATTACCATCATCAGCATCATCAACATCATCATTAGAATCAGCATCAGCATCAGCATCAACATCATCAGCATCGCCATCATTAGCATCAGAATCATCATCACCATCACCATCAGCATCAGCAGTAGCATCGGCATCATCACCATCATCATCATCATCATCATCAGCATCACCATGATAATCATCATCAGCATCATCATCAACCATCCTCAGCCACCCTCGTCGTCGTCGTCGTCATCATCATCAGCATCATCATTATCATCATCGTCATCATCATCAGCAGCATGATCATGATCATCATCATCATCATCGGCATCATCACCACCATTCTCGGCAGCCTCACCGTCATCAGCATCAGCAGCAACATCAGAAGCATCAGCATCATCAGCATCATCCTCAACCTCATCCTCATCCTCATCCTCCCTGGCTGGTGCCTGCTCGGCTGCCTGCCCCCACCACCCCCGGGGCCTCCGCAGACTCCCGCGCGCGGTCCGCGGCCTCCAGGGCGAAGCGCGCCTCCGACGCCTCGCGCGCGGCGTCCTGGCGCGGGGGGGGGGGGGGGCTGCCCGCGCCGGGGGGGGGGGCGGGGCAGCCTTGTCCCACGGAGGCGGGGGGGAGGGAGAGAAGGCGGGGGAGGGGTGGGGGGGATGGGGGAGGAGGAGGAAGGAGGGGGAGCGGGGAGGAGGGAGGAGCGAGGAGGGGGGAGGAGTGGGGAGGAGCGGGAAGGGAGAGGGGGTGGACAGGGAGGGCAAGGATTTCGAGGACTTCCGCCATCACGTAGGGATACAAAAATAGGCTGAGCTCAGTCGCCAGCTTTAGGAAACAGATCCCTCTGAATCCTACTGAAATATTCTCGTCGGGCCTTGGAGATAGGTAAGGTGCACGGCTTGCCTAAGCCCCTGAGCTGGGCCTGACCGACATAAACGCAAGCGGAAGGGGGGGAGGACGGGGGGGGGGAAAGGAGAAGTGGGGGAGGGGAGGGAGGGGCGGGGGGGGGGAGTGGAGAGGAGGAGGAGGTGCTCGCGCGCCATATCTGACACCCGAACCCTCCCCATTCATCCCTTCCCTTTGCGCTGATGCTCCTTTATCTGCCGACGGGCGTCGTAGAGGACCTGGGCCCCCCAAATAAGCCCACAGTGCGATGCGGAATCAGGAACGGGAGCTGTGTACATTTGGAGGAAGAGGAGGAGAAAGAGGAGGATGGGGATGGAGGAGAGGGAGGAGGAGTAGCGATATAAGGAGCAGGAGTAAGAGCAGCGAGACGAGCAAACTGGCCAGGGTACGGCGACAGAGGGCACAGATTGGGGACAACGGCGACGAAGGAATCGGATCCGGAAGTGGGGCCCGCAATTGGGGCCAGCGTGCCATTCTGAACGACGGGAGCAACGCGCCGATCCTGCAGCGGCAGCATTGCTTTTCCCCCACCAAGGAGGCTTGCCTGAGAGGTTCCTCCTTGATCAAAGGCTGGTGCCTCGGGTGGCTAGTTACTCTGCCCGTGCCTCGGAGGTTCCTCGGCTTCCTCGGGTTCCTCGGGTTCCCCGGGTTCCTCGGGTTCCTCGGGGTCCTCGGGTTCCTCGGGTTCCTCGGGGTCCTCGGGTTCCCTGGGTTCCTCGGGTTCCCCGGGTTCCTCTGGTTAATCGGGCCCCACCGGTTCCACAAGCAATGCCAAGAAATGCGGAGCAATGCGAAGCAACGCCAGGAAATGCGAAGCAATGCCAAGCAATGCCAGTCATTGCCAAGTAATGCTAAACACTGCGCCCATGCAACAATACTGCTTTCCCTAATTGGGGTCGCGCGGGGATTATAAAAGCAAACACGTCTCGATCTGAAACTATGTGTTAGCCAGCGTGCACCCCTAACACTGTGAGGATACCAATATATATAATATAATATATGGTGTTATCTATGTGGAGTAATCGATATTCTGCAATATGTACATATATATATATATATATATATATAGCAACCGATGTGGTGCAACACTTGCAGTGTGACTTAGGCTGTGCTCTATAATCCCACCAGCCCTCTGGGCGTCGGTGGTTTAGGGCGTTTCCTCTTCCACCCCTCCCTCTTCCCCTTCGGGGAGGGGTTTACCCCTCCCCCTACCCCCTCCCCACTGACCTGGACAGGAGGGGCGGGGAGCGGTCAGAGCGTCCAAAACAGCCTCGGCGAGGAAGCCAAAATCATTGATTTTAGCAGGGTTTTGGCCCCATTTTGGCCTCCTGGGGGGGGGGCAGCGCTAATTAAAGCTCAGCTCTTCTTTGATAGATCTCCTCCAAGATGGCACAAAGAAGCGCCCAGGAGGCCCCAAGAGGTCCCAAGATGGCCCCAAGATGGCCCCAAGAGGCCCCCAAGAGGCCCCCAGAAGGCCCCCAAGAAGACCCTCAGAGGCCCCAAGAGGCCCCCCCCGAGGCACCCAAGACCCCGAAGAGCCCCCCAGGATCGCCAAGAGACCCCCAAGACGTCCCAAGAGGCCCCCAAGAATCGCCCAAGAGATACTCCAAGAGGCTCCTAGAGGCATCCAAGAGACCTCTGGCCCTTGTGCTTGCCCTCCTCCTCCTCCTCCTGTTCCTCCTTCCTGCTCCTACTCCTTCTCTTCCTCCTCCTCCTCCTCCTCCTCCTCCTCCTCCTCCTCCTCCTCCTCCTCCTCCTCCTCCTCCGCATCCCATTCATCCTCCGTCTTCCCACTCCCTCATCCATCCATCCATCCACCTCCTCCTTCTCCTCCCCACTCCTTTGCACGGTTCGGCCGTCCTCCTCTTTGCTGCCGCACTTCCCTGATCACCTCAACTCCCCTGGACATCGTTTCGGGATGGGCTGGTGGGGATGAGCGAAGCGTCTAGAATGTGTGCAATGTGCGGTGCGGAATTGCTGCAATGCAACATATGCGGTGCAACCTACGCGGCGGAGCTTATTTGATACAGTATGCGTAGGGCAATCTAGGTGGTCCAATCTGTGTGGTACAATCTATGTAGTGCAATACGTGTTGTGCAGTCTACGTGGTACAACCTAAGATATGCAATCTACACGGTTCGATCGACGGTGTGCAACCTATGTTGTGAACCGTACGTGGTGCAATCCATGTGGGACAACATAGGTTGTGCAACATATGTGGTGCAATCGACGTGTTGCAATATGTGTGGTGCAATCGATGTTGTGCAATGTATGTGGGTACATACGCGCGTTGCAAGATATATCGTGCAACATATATATATATAGATATATGGGGCATTTTGCCGAACTTGAAGTTGTCAGCTCCAGTGCTCGCGCAATCATCCCACCCACCCACCCGCAACTTGGTCTGACAAACGCATGCGGGAGCGATTGCGATGAATGCTGGGTGTTGGCTGGTGCATATCTGCGGTCGCGCTAGCCCGCGCATGCTCGCACGCGCAGCGGCCAGCTAGTTTGGCGCGACCGACGCGAACACGGTGGCGCTGACCGCCTGGCACATCCGAGCGGGCAGTTCAGTGCGAGTCGGCGACTTGGGCGGGCGCGGTATCATGGCAACGTCGACAACGGTAGACACGATTATGCTAGTAGCGATGCTGGCGACGATGCTGACAGCGACGACGGGGGAGCCAGTGACAGCGCCGATGCTGATCACGCCGACGACGATGACGGCGTTTTCGAGTCGGTGATGAAGGTTTTAGATGGAATTCGAAATGCGCGCGCGGCCGACGCGCGAGAGTGGCTCGCATGGTATTATCTAACACCGCCACCCCAGCACGCGCGCAAGGGCGTTCGAACGATTTCGACATGCGCGCCCGAAGCCCGCTTGGTAGCATGTTATGAAAATGTTGAACAATTTACAGTTTCTTAAGAATTCGCAAGAGCGCGCGTGCACGCTTTTGTTGAAAATCTGCGTTGCGAAATCCAGTGTTTTTTATTGAGCACTGGATTTTGAAATCCTTCCGAAACCGAGAGATTTTGAAGGATTTCGGCATGCGCGCTCGACGACGCGCGCGTGTGCATGTCGTCTTGTTTTTGGCATGGGATTTTTGAGAACTTATGATTTGTGATAAACGAGTATGCGCACATAGTAGATTTTTGCAACGGATGGCGGGGGGTACGGATACCGGCCTGGCTAAGATAGTACGAATTCACAGGTCGGATGGAAAGTGGGTCAGAATTATATGTGTTTTGCATTGGTTCTTGGGGAGTCGATAAGTCCGGGGGGGAGGGCGGTAGAACCAATCTCTTTCTTAGAAAGGAGAATCCATGTGGCGCAATGTATGTGACGCAGTCTATTTTGCGCAACCTATGTGGTGCTATCTGTGTTGTGCAGATTACGTAATTGAATATATGCTGCATACCCAATGTTTTTGTTGCAAGATATGTTGCGCAATCCAGCCTATATTGTGCAACATAGGGGGTGGATTATATGTTGCGCAGTCCATGTTGTGCAATGCATGTGGCGCAACCTATGTTGCGGCGACGAGGCGGTCACGGGGCGGCGACGGCGGCAACACGACCGCCAGACAGGCCCACACGACGGGCGGCGACAAGGCGGCGATGGGGCGGCAGCATAGCCACCGGACCGCCAAACAGGCCCCGTTCCTAAGAGAAGCATCGGCTACCCGCAAGAGTGACCTTAGGCAAGAGTGACCTTTAGTGCGGGGCCAAAGGGAGGGCCCTCTGGGGACACCACCCGGCGCGCAAGCCGCTGCTATCGCATCGCATTCAGCGATCGGGGGGCCCCGTTGCGCCCGCACCCAAAGGTCACTCCGGCGAAAGGTCACAGCAGGAGCCCCGAAGCGCAAGCGGTGTTTGGGGAGCCCCTGCGCCAAGCAGCGACGCGTCGACCTCCCGGGCGCCAACGGGGCACAGAGGCGGGGAGCGGCGGCGCCTTCCTTGCGCCCATTATGCGGGGAGGGAGGGGGGAGAGCAGCACGCAGAGGGAGCGCGGAGGGGGAGGAGGGGGAGGGAGGGGCGGGGGGGAGAGGGGAAGACCCAGAGGATGGGGAGGGAGGGGGGAGGGAGGGAGGTCGTGGGAACCCAGGGAGGGGGGGAGGAGGGGAGACCCACGGGAGGGGCGGCGGGGAGCAGAGGGGGGGGGAAGGGGAGGGGAGGGCGGGGGAAGGGACAGGGGGGAGAGGGGAAGGGGAGGGCGGGCGGGGAGGGAGAGGCAGCCCGGGGCAGTGGAGGAGAGGACGAGAAGGGCAGGGCTAAGAACGGGGCGCATGCCAACAAGCCACCTGCTGCCTCCACCGTTCCCTCGAGGAAGAAGCAGAAGAAGAAGAAGGAGAAGGAATTTGGAGAGTGGAGGGACGAGAACACGGAGGAGGAGGAGGAGGAAGGGGGAGGAGGAGCAGGAGGAAGAAGGCGGATGCAGGCATTTTACCGTGTGCCGCCTGCAAGAGCTGATAGGCCACGCCCTGCCAAGCAACGCGAGCCTCGCAATGTACTCTCCGATATGTCGTTCCTCGATGACGCGCTTCTCGCAGTGCAAGCACGAGCTGGTTAGATCAAGATCTAAATGCACCGTACGGTCGACAACGTGCAGAAGGCCATGATACGTTTTTGCTTAGATATCAACT